TTAAAATATGATTTTTGGACTTTTTTGGTAGGTAGATTTTTGGACATAGTAGAATTATTTTTGGAAATAGAACACCAAGTCAAGGGCGTTCACATGTGTGGATTGGTGCAAATTGGACAAAGCTATTGGGTTGAGGCCTCATACGTACGGTAAATAGTTCCATTTGTGCGATCGTGACCTTCGTACGTGCAATTGGAAAAGGGACTATTTTGGATTTGGACTGCTTAAATCCGTACATTTAGTGAGGTAAATAGAACAACAACATGACATCACCACAACCATGCAATTCTCTCTCTCTCTCTCTCTCTCTCCCACTCTCTCTCTATTTCTAATCTCTTTTCCAGCAACACTCCAGTAAACCTCAAGATATGAGGTAGTTAGAATGAGAGTTGAGCTTTCCTTCAAGAACTAAAGTTGTAGAGTACGATGAGGGATATACATTTTGTAACACTCGAAATTTCTTGAAAAATCTATCACAACCATACACAACATAATACAATAAAGTCCTCTTTCTCATTGAACTAAGGTTCAATATTTACAATTTCAAACTTACACATTAATCTTAGTCCAAGCCCTTGGGTAAGTTCAATAAGCTAGAAGACCATACAAAAGAAATTTGCCATTACGGCATACAAAAGAAGTTTTTTTCCAATACAACAAAACAAATTTCCTATGCTTGACACACAACTTTACACTTCTACAATTAAATCTCTTGGGCCCAACTTTCTAGCAGAATATAAGTACAAGCTTCAAGTCACTGCGGAGGTGTCTCACCAATTCCTGAAAAATCAATTAGGGTTAAGTTGTGTGCCCAGTAGGGATACATTTAACCAAGTATTTAATCATTTGAACAAGCACATGGCACCGTTATAACTAAAACAACATAAGATAATTAATATTGATAAAGAAACCAATTAGGTAAATAAGTTGATAAATAAAATAAAAACATTTTATTGCACTGCTATCCCATACAAAACCGTTCTCAACTGTTCTCAACATTAGAAAGAGGAATGCACCAGGAGTCCCTTACAAGAGTCCAAATCACTTACATGAGTCACTTTCATTTAACACCATCCCCACATTTACAGACTATTATACGGCATGACGTGGGCACCAAAAAATATCCGTTTTTTTCACTTTTGCGGACTACAATATGGCAGGACCAGTGGACACCCAAAAACATTTTCCTACATTCGTCCGGCGATAAGCGTAGACCGGGCAATTGGGCATCTTAACTCCCCACACGGGTACCGACACAACACCACATTCTCAAAATAGACTCTTAACCCGGACTCTTATTCACATTACTGTAACATGCCCGGGGGTACCCATGCGCGTTAAATAGTTCGGACCCTTGATTTCTTTGCCCTAGTCTCACGAGTGCAATGTGAAACATAGATGAGAGTTTAGTTTTGACAACTTTTATAGAAAAACCATTTTATAGCAAAAGTTTTGCCAAAAATGGACTACATCACCAGATCTTAGAGTTGTCACCTAATGTTTTAGGGAAATTAGGAAACCCATGACTCATGCCAAGGCCACTGTTCGTCGTCACCAAAGAATGTTGGCTTGGAACCTTAGGTATGAGAGGGGAATGTCATTATTGAGCACCCTCACTCACCCGATCAAAAGATTGGCCTTTACTAAACCATGATATGAATTTTATTTTCTTTATATGTTCATGTTCTTATTATTTAATAAATCCTAAAATTTACTATGTGAAGCATACAAGTATAGATTATGCCATTCATATTGGAACAATTTGATTTCATATATTTTGAAAGAGTTTTGAAGATGTACAACCCAAATAAATTGAGTTTACAAACATGAAAAATCAATATCATTCCAAATTAAGCGACATAACCTCCATCCACTGTCTAAGATATGACATGTGAATTATCTCAAGAATATGAGGTAGCGCAGATAATCACATAGGAATTGATTAAATCCACAAATGCAAACTTAGCCGAATCAAGATGCATGAAACATGGATACAAAAGATGGATGTAATGAAAAACAAAATATGATGCATATTCACAAATAAAGAAAGAAAGCAAAAGAACAGGATAGAAAAAGGCGAGGCGGAGAATTATTACAACACTTGAAGGAATAATTACAAACCAAAGTAGAGAAAGATGAGGAGAATATTACAACAAAATAAAAAATCTCACAGAACACTCAAAATAAAATAAACAAAAGAAAAATCTTCATATGCCTTGGAAGCCACCGAATGTTGGTTAACATCGGAAGACAATACCATATTGTCCAAAAGAAGCTAATTGGCCAGCCTCCAATTAGGCCTTGTAAAACCTATCTTGTTACAAAACCAAGAAAAAGGAACAAACAAGAAATATATAGGTGGCTCAACTAAGATTAAAACAAGAAAACAAATATAAAATAGAAAGTGCAAAATTACAACAAAACTAACTTGAACCTCAAAAAAGAAAACAAATATAAGATAGAATATATAAGATTACAACAAAACTAATATGAAACTAATACAAGAAGATAAATATAAGCTAGGAAATGCAAGATGACAACACAACTACTATGAATCTAAAACAAGAAAACAAATATAAAATAGAACATGTAAGATTACAACAAAACTAACATGAACCAAAAACAAGAAAACAAATATAAGATAGAACATGCAAGATTATAACAAAACTAATATGAAACTAAAATAAGAAAACAAATATAAGACAGAACATGCCAGATTACAACAAAATTAATATGAAACTAAAATAAGATAACAAATATAAGATAGAACATGCAAGAGTACAACAAAACTAATAAGAAACTAAAATAAGAAAACAAATATAAGATAAAACATGCAAGAGTACAACAAAACTAATATGAAACTAATACAAGAAAACAACATAAGATAGAACATGCAAGAAAAATGAAAGAATTGAAAATTCATCTTCCAAAGAAAGATTAAACTTCTTGATTTTCAAACTTCCTCTTGATCACCCTCAAGGTTGTGAATTATGGTCTTAATTCTCAATTCAATAGCTTGGAATTTGAGCTTAGAATGACGGTTTTGAGCAAGTGTCTGATCACTTTTTTTTTGGCAAGACCACTCTCTCTTTGATTAAAGCTTTGAGTGGTTTTGACAAGGGAAGATAATATGTAAGAGGCTATGTAACTTCACTAGTTTGGCAAGACAACTCTCTTGTTTTTAAGACTTTCTTTTCCCTCAAATTCTAACACAATTTTATTATTCTCTCTCTACACTTCTCTTTTTAAAATTCATCCCAAATTCAAGACTAGAGCTCTCATTATATATCCAATACAAATAGGCAATGGTGGAAGACAAAGTGGAGGACAAATTGAAAGACAAAGTGGAGGACAAAATGGAAGACAAAGTGGGGCATTTAGGGAAGATAATAGAGCTAATGAGGGACAATGTATAATGGAGGTGAATGATGAATGGTGATGGTGGTGTGTGATTTAGGAAAATGGATGATGAGTTGAGATGGTGGGGTGTGATTGTGAAAGAAGATGGTGAGTGGGGATGGTGGGGTGTCATTATGAAAGTGGATGGTGAGTGGGGATGGTGGGTTATAATTATGAAAGTGGATGGTGAATGGAGATGGTGGGATGTGATTATGAAAGTAAAAGGTGAGTGGGGATGGTAGGGTGTAATTGTGAAAGTGGATGGTGAGTGGAGATTGATGTGTAGGAAATTTGGTAGTGGAGATTTGGTGAGTTTTGGATGAAAAATAATTTGGCAAAAAATGTGTGAAGGTTGGGATTAAGGCTCAAATTCCATCTCTGTTACTAAAGATTCTGTGAGAAACACATTTTGATTGTCATAATCGGGGAATCAAAAGAAAGCGCCTAAGTCTTAGGGTCGGTCAAAATGAGGTGTTTACAATTACCACCTTACTCAACTTTGTTCCAAGTATACAAGCATTTAACATTATATGAGATAACAGAAAAATATAACATTCAAAAAGCATCAATTCCCAAGTCGCAATTTTAACACCATAACACTATCCATATGTCCCATACCGTGATTATTCACAAAATTCCAAGTATTTAAGGAAATTTCTATATGAGTATCATTCTCTACTCAAATTCAAAATTAAGGTTTTAATAAATTTGGGGCTTTCTCTCAATTTTCATATATATCTCTATTCTCAACATTAATACTCATGTTACATGGAAATTAGAGGAAACTTTAATAAAAGTTGAGTAAAATTTCCCTTCTTGTGAAATACCAAGTTTAATCTAACTCAATCTTTAAATTAAGGCATAAAGTCACAACAATACCATATAATCTCTTCAAAACAAAGAGATACTAAGTTAAAAGCAACCCTACCTCAATTAAAGAGTAAGAAAGCTAGACTTCTAGGAGAATCCTTTGCAAAGACGAAATCCAATCGGTAGAAAGAAAGATCTTCACTTATACTTCTTTTCTTACAAGCGATTTAGACTTAGATCTTAGTGAACTGAAAAGTATTAAAGTGAGGAGCTTAGGGTTTTTTGGAGTGAGAGGGTGGGGAAAGAAGATAAAAAAGAAAAGATGGAGAAATGATCTAGAAAGCAACTTTTAAAGTTGTTGAATTCGGCAGACTGCTCGAGTGGTCTTTTCATTGCTTGAGAGGTGAACAACACCTCTCAGTAATTTTGTCTACAAAATGAGATACTGGGAGTCCTAAATCTTCACTCGAGCGACCCTTAGTTCGCTCAAGCAGTCCACCCTAACCTACAAACTATTGGATGTTCGCAATCTTCACTCGAGCAGTACTTTCACCGCTCGAGTGGTCACCTGGAACAAAATGTCACAATCTTTTTGCCTTAGGAAATTTCATCCCCGAAATAACGTCAACTCTCAATACGATGACAAATATAGCAACAATAGTGTACTCATTGATTTTTAGCAACTCCAAATAGACAATTAATTAATTCTAAAGTAAGGAAAGAGAAGAAGTAAAAAATATAAGTTACATCCAATTTGTCAAATATGTGGAGAAAATGATGAAATGAACACATCATAGATTTGGAAATAAGTCTGGGTATTTCTCGTGGACTTCGACTTCATGCTCCCAAGTTGTTTCTTCCACTCTGTGATGGCGCCATATTACTTTGACTAGTGGAATGGTCTTACCCCTTAACACTTGCTCCCGTGTATCAAGGATTTGGATCGGACTTTCCTTATAAGAGACATCTTCATCAACTTCAAGTTTTGTCCAATCTAACAAGTGAGAGGGATCGGGTTCATATTTGCAAAGCATTGATACATGGAACACATTATCCACCCCAGAGAGTTGAGGTGGTAAAGCAAGATGATAAGCAACTTCTTCTATCTGCTCAATAATGTCAAAAGGGCCGATAAATTTGGGAGATAACTTTTCACTCTTGCCAAATCTCATCAATCCCTTCCTCAGAGAGATCTTCAAAAATACATGATCTCCTACTTCAAAAGATAATGATTGTCACATTTGATTAGCGTAGCATTTCTAACAGCTTTGGGCCGTGATCAATCTTTTCTAAATAAGAGCTACTTTTTCCGTAGTCTCACGAACTAATTTGAGCCCAAGCATTGATGAATCCCCTACTTCCGCCCAACATAACGGTGATCTACAAGGATGTTCATAAAGAGCCTTAAAAGGTGCCATTTCAATACTAGTTTGATAGCTATTGTTATAAGCAAATTCAACTAAGGATAGATGTTTTTCCTAAGACTCTTTAAAATCTAGCACAAATGCTCTCAACATATTTTCTAAAATTTGAATGAGGCGCTCCGATTGCCTATCGGTCTGTGGATGATAAGCAGTGCTGAAATTCAATTGGGTACCTAAAGCATTCTGAAGACTTTGCTATAGCCTGGCTGTAAAGCGAGGGTCTCTATCGGACACTATACTCACTGGAACCCCATAGAGGCGAATAATCTCACGGATGTAAAGTTCAGCTAAAAACTCTATAAAATCTCCCATGCTCATGGCAAGAATGTAGGCTGATTTAGTAAGTCTGTCTACAATCACCCACATCGCATCATTACTTTTTTGTATTCTAGGAAGGTCTACAACAAAGTCCATATTAACACGCTCCCATTTCTATTCAGCAACTAAGAGAGGTTGTAGTAAACCTGCCAATCTTTGGTGTTTAGCTTTAACTTGTTGATAGGTGTAGATACCCCATTTTTGACTGTCCTTAAGACTTGGACGTTATCGTTTGAACACTCGATGGTTTTGTATGCATGTGTTCGTTTTGAGTGCTTGAAGTTCTCGGCCGAGCGCCTTGCCTTTGAGCCTCTAAACTTGTCTGTTTTATGCTTGGTTGTCGACCAAGAGCTTGTGGTTTCAAGTCTAGAGGAGAGGGTGGCCTGTCGGCCATCTCCACAGTCCATTGGCCATCAGTGGTGGCCGGTCGGCCACATTGATGGCCGATCGGCCACTAGTGGTGGCCGACGGTCATTTTTTGCCTTTTTCAGATATTTGTTTGCCAGCTGTGCCAGTTGTTGTTCACTGAAGGGCATCTCCATACACGTGTATAGAGGGATAAATTCAAGCTTTAATCGTGATTTTCTATATATAGGGGGTGTCCTCCCCCATTTTGGAGGGTTAGAAAATTTGGATCAAAATTCTCCCTCTCTCTCCTTAGAATTCTCTCTCTCTCTTTCTCTTCTTGCTTTGTGCTTGGTAGTTAGTTTTCTTTACACTTTTACACACTAACCCTTAACCAAACACCCTTATCTTGGAGCTAAGGTTCTTTGGGGTTTAGTTTGAGTTCTTGAAAGAGGTTTGAGCTGGGATTTGAGGCTGTTTTGTGCTTGAGCTTCAAGAGGTAGTTCATTTGCTTAATATACTTGTTTTGGCTACTCATTTTGCCATCCTTTTATACTGTTTTTGAGCTGGTTTTCAACTACAAAAAAATCTGATTTTTGAGCCTTAACAGGATGGTTTGAGGTCATTTTGTGTTAAGGGGCAGTCCACCATTCTTGTTGCTTAATCATGTAAGCTTTTGCACCACCTTTTGGCATATTAAAATCAAACTTTTTGGGCCTTTAAACCACTGAAATTCAGAGTTATTTCAGTGGTAAAAACTTGGTTTTGAAGTCCAAAATTGGAGGGGTTAGCCTCCCCCCCTTGTGTCTTACTTGTATGCCTAGATAGCTTAACATGTGAGCATGTTTTTCTAGCATTTTGTATCTTAATCTCAGCGTGTTTTTGCTACTGTTTTGACTGGTTTCAGCTCTGTTTTGAGCTAGTTTGGTCCTTTGAGGCTTGTATTGTGTAGTTGTATTGCAAATGGCTTCACTAGCTTAATGTTTTAGGCCTTTTTAACATGACTTGTATGAGTTGCTTGCATGTTTTAGTATCTTTTTGCACTCCATTTCAGCACTGAAATCTCTACAATCTCCCACTATTCTTCACTTTTTCATTTGTTTTGAAAGTGGCTTTGAACTCCTTGTTGGCTTAAGTGTGGAATTGAGATCCTCATGCCTAATGGTTTAATTCCTTTGAGAGTTCATTACCAACAGCATGCGGCCCTTTTCATGCTCAAGGTACTTGTGGTTTAAGCCCTCTTTCCATTAGACGACACTCACCTTTTGGACTAATAAATTAAAGAATGGATTGGTAATCTAAAATGAGTAAATAAAACATGACAAGTAAAAGAGGCAAGATAAGCATCTTTCATATTGCATTGCATGTGTTTAGATCGGACATTAATTCAAACACGAGAAAAATGGGACGTTTCATACTCAAAGTGATGAAACGTGCCACTTTTCCTAGTCACCATCACCCTTGATCATACATGATAGGGTTATAGTTTTGTTGAGTCTTGTTTTGCACTTATTAAGCTTGTACAAACTTGGTTCTTTGGCCATCATGCATGAAAATGTTTGGTTGATGGCTTGAGAGCCAAGAGCTACACTCCTTTAAGCTTGTGTGATGATAAAGAGGGTAGCAGTACATACACTCCTTGAGAATACACTGCTTTGTCTCTGTTTGCTCTCTGTTGCAGGAAAAAAAAGGAAAGTTCAGGGAAGGGGTGGCTGACCGGCCACCAGTAGTGGCTAATCGGCCACTAGTAGCAACCGACCGACCACCAATGGCAGTCGACAACCACCATTAGTAGCCGACCGACCAAAAATGAAATTTTACACAAGTGTGTTCCTGACTTGGAGCAGATGTGTTCTGGAAGTTGGCAGCACTGTTGGTGTTCAAACAAGTGCAAACAGAGGTTGCAAAGGCAAGGCAGTGGCATTTTCGGGAGGAAATCAACCAAGCATGCATGCGTCCCTTGCCCTCGAGGCCATTTAATTGCTTTAATTAGTTAGCGTAGCTAATTGTTCAATTCACGTGTTGTACTTAATTAGTTAGTGTAACTAGTTATTCAATTCCGATTTGTTATAATTAATTAGCTTAGAATAGTTAATTAGTTTTTGGTTTGTAATAGCTTAGCTTAATTAGCGTAGCTAGTTAACTTAACTTTTGTTCATTCGGACCCTCCTTCGCGAGGGCATAATGTTGTAACCCCACGTCTTTCTCCCTTTTATTTATCCGCTTTTGATGGTTAGATTAGAGACATTTTCAATTAGCATACCTTATGCTTGCATGCTTGCATCCATTCATTTGTCTTGCATGCATCGAGGCTCGACGCATCATTGAAACTGCATTGTCAATTTCAATACTTCTTTGAATACGTGTTTTAAAGCATGCTATCAAAGTGTTGCAAATGCCATATTAGTAGCCAAGCCTATTAATTTCATATTGCATGTGTTGCATTAGGCATCTTAACATAGTTAGGATCCTGCATCTTTCTAACTAGCTTTTGTTTTGGCTTGGAGTACTCGATGAGTTTTATGCTTTAGCATACTTGCATGAGTGTGATTTCCATATTGCCATGTTTAGCATGATTCACCATGAGTTTATGTGCTTACTTGATAAACTGCATGAATGCCTGCGGATGAAGGCTTTGTTGTTTGAATTGGAACAATTCAACAAAATGTGAGTTTTAAGCCTACTTTGTAAAGTGGCAAAATCATGTTTTAAGCCCACTTGAGATGGCAAATCCGCATTTTTTAAGCCCACTTGAGGGTGGCAAATTCAAACCATTTTTGAAAACAAACATGAGTTGAATTCGGTCTAAGTCTTGAGACTAGTCTATACTTGCTTGTACGCGTCACATAGTAAAGTTAGTCTAATAACCGGAATAAGAACACATAATATTTATAAAACAACATATCATGATTAGTAAAGGCTGATCTTTTGATCAAGCGAACGGGGGTGCTCATTTCATGACCTTCCCCCTTCGTACCTAAGTTCCCGAACCGAGGCAACTTTGGTGATGACGGACATGTGGCCTTTGGCACGAGTCAGGATTTCCTAAATTTTCTAAAAAATAAAATATTTAGGTGGCGACTCTATAATCTGGCAAAGCAGTCCAATTTTGGCATTATTTGATTTAAAATCTGATTTTCCAAAACGATTTGCTGGATTTAGATTCTTTGGCGTTCATCAGTTTCACATTGCACTTGTGAGACTAGATTCAGAATCACAGGTAGAGTCTGAATTGTGAGGCCTTCTTTTCAAATCCTTTTCCGAAATGCAGGGGCGCGAGAAAAAAGCGAGCCCACAACAGGTTAAACCTTCGGACACAAATAAAGCTACATCTTTTTTCATACTCCTCCACCAGAATTGTTGGCTGAGGTCATGATACATTTTGGTGCCTTTCGGACGCACTGCAAGACGCGAGTGATGAAAGTCCTGCAAAACTTCATCCCTCAAGGACTTCGGCACAAACAATTAGTCAAAGTAATGAACACTAGAGTCAGTATAGATGTTCAGGTCCCTCTCTTCTTTCCCTTTGGAAATTTTCTCTCTAATTGCATCCACCTTTGGATCACCCAATTGTGCTTCTGTCACTCGTGTAACAAGGGTGAGTTGTGCAACAGTGGTGAATAGGATGGCCTGTTCAGAAGACTTATGGAATTGCAAATCAAATTCACTGACATCCCTCATCATCTTCCATTCCCTCACCACTAGGCTAGCTATAGTACTGTAGACACCCCATTTTTTACCGTCGTTATGACTTGGACGTCATCGCTTGCACACTCGATGATGAGTCTATATGCTTGCCAAGTGCTCAAAGTCTTCAACGGAACGCCACAACTTTGAGCCTTTCAAACCTTGCACACCTGTTGCTTTGTTTTTGGACCAAAACCCTAGCTTTTCAAACCTGCAACCCTTGGTGGCCTGCCGGCCACCTTTTTGGGCTACCGACCATCACTCTTAGTTACCGGCCACTGATGTGGTCTACCGGCCACCAGTGTCTTTTGCAGATATTTTGTGACAGTTGTGCTAGCTGTTTGCATAGATGCTTGTATCTCCTCCCATGTGTAGGGCTGGATGTTCTTGAGGAGAATTCATGTTTTCTATATATGGAGGGCCTCCCTCTCATGTTTTAAGGTTAGAAAAATTTTAGAGCAAAAGTTTTTCTCTCTCTACATTTCTCTCTCTCTCTCTTCCAAATTTCTACACTTTAGCCTACATATCCTTAACCTTTGCCTATACACTCTTAACCAAACCTTCTCATCTTTGAGCTGAGGTACTTTTGAGATTGGTTTGAGCTCTTGAAGGGTGTGTTGTCTTAATTTGTTGCCTAGAATTGGTCTTCTCTTCAAGAGGTATAAGGCTTTGCTTGTTGCTTTGTTTTATTTTCTATTATTCTTGCTATTTTCCAATTGTTTTGGGGCTATAAAAACTCTATATTTTTGGGCTGAAACTTGGGTTCTAAGGCCATTAACGGTTGAAGGGTGGTTCACCCTTCTTTGCACCTTGTTTTAGAGGTCTTTACCCTTGTGTTTCCCATCATTTTACTATCTGTTTTTGCATTTTTAACACTGATTTTCAGAGTTATTTCAGTGGCCAAAATTATTTTATGAAGTCCAAATTTGAAGGGATTAGCCTTCTCTCCTTGTGTCTTGCTTACTAGCCTAACTTGTGCTATGTTTTAGCATATTAATCTAGCTTTTTTTGTCTTA